ATCGTTCACCCCGATGTGACTGCATCTGCAAAACGACTGAAATGAACGCTTAACTTACGCGTGTTACGAACACTTACGAATGCTTACGACTTCAGTAGCGAAGTCATGTGATTGGTGGAGATGTCTGAACGCCAATATTACTCACCACATCGGGCTGATAAAACATAAACCAATTTATCTTTTGTTGATAAGATGTGATAGGCTCACAGATACGATACGATGAATGTGATAGCAATTGCTACATATTGATTAAGCTACTGTCTATACAAACTCGGTACTGAATGTATGATAACTCTCCTTGTCCGTGAAGCTATTCAGAAAGAAATGTTCATAGTGTTCCAAACAAGTCGCAGAGGACACGCCGTTAGCCACTGCCTCACCATAAACTGGAATTAATTCAACTGCATGCGTCACATCTGTCACTCGAATGACAGCTCCTTCCCTACAGCGGTTACCATTTTCGTCCTGCATGTATGCATGCTCCACGGTCCACATCGCGAGCTCGGGACGATCATCAGGGCTGGAAATGAAGCGGAAAAATTGGACGTAGAGTAGTGGGTCAGAGAGATACGACGGTAGTTCCAGGTTGGAACCTCGTCAAACGATTGGTTGAAAAATGAGTCGAACCTGTGCGATATAACTTGCTGTACATGATATCAGTAGGGCTACAACATAAGCACATGAAATAAACATACTCATTTTGCTGTTAGTGCCCATGGCATCAATGAGAACAGTATCACAATTTCCCAAGGGGAAATCATTGCTTGGTGGGTATGCTTGCACCACCCGACTTGGCATGATGACTCGCGGCTGGAAGGCCGAGTGAAGCTGCAATCGAAACTTGTGCCATACCTGGAAATGCCCATATTTGGGGTCCCAGTGGGAATGTTCACCACTGGAAAGGGAGGAACAACAAATGAAGTTGGCGAGCGCATGATCAAAGTCAAGGACTGCATATTTCCTGCCTATTTCAGATGGTGAGAGTGATTTGTAATCAAGTGCGACATTGAGTTGAAAAGCGGTGAGCGCATCCTCAGAGAGAATACCTTTGAGGAAGTGATTACGGACTGGTCAGGGACCATGGATTGACCTGACTTCGTCAGGAAGAACTCGGGAAACCCAGGAGAGTGCAGGATTGGTAGTTGTGATATCTTCATCTTCGGCATGTATGGCATTAACCAGTGATGCCCCGCGAGAAGTCAGCAGTGTGTACAGGCTGAACATTTCCATAGATTCTTGGCGATTAAGAATCCGCACGCACTGCTCCGTAAAATCTTTGATTTGTTGGGACGTCCGCAGGAAAAGGTCCTTGCAATGTGTGATAAGTAACCGCTCCGTCACGTCAGCAGAGAACTGCATCAAAGTGCCCAATTTCTTAATCGTACCATCGAAGCTCTGCAGAAGCTCGAGTTTGGGGATGAAAAAATCCTCTTTGATACCCTTCTTCCCCTTCCTTGCCTTGGCCTGGACAATAGCGTCCTTGAAAGAGTGGAAATCTGAAAGCGCCTGAACCATTGACTGAAGTGATTGAGGTGAGTGAACCGGATTCTGTGCGAGGTAAAAGAACTCCATGAGGGCATGAATTGCACAAATGAATCTGGGTGGAACAGCCCCTGCGATCGATGCAATGATAGTGCGTTGGATGTCTCTATGCTCGCGGCCTGTCATCTGATTAACATGAGTGATACCTTTCGTAAAGTGGCGCGTTCCGACTCGCTTGTGCTGCACCATGAAGTGAGTATCAAGCTCATAATGTCCTACAATTTCTTTGATCCATTTCAGTGGATGATCCGCGAAGAATTTATGGCAAGTGTGCAGCACTTCGCTGGCGAGAAAAACGGACGGACATGCAAACATCCAATTGCGCCAGTGTGGCATATGAACACCAGATAGATTAACAGCTTTGGCTGCTTTCTGGAACTTGTTGAGATCCCAGGGATCGACTGTTCGGGATATCTCCACAATGAGTTGCAATGTGTGCTTCCCGGTATGAGGGGGGTGGAGAATTCCATCACCAAAATCTGCTTGTGTTGCCATAGTCAGCGGGGATGAGTTTTTGCTGACTGCAGCGATCATAGTAGCCTCTGGTAGGTCGCACACATGAGCAATGAGCGGCGTAAACACATGACGAATGTAATGGGAAGGATCGGGCATAAAGCAGCCATCCTTTGCTGCAGCCTTGAGGTTGGCGCAAACAAGGTCCATACACTTATGCCACAGTCTGGCTTGGAGAATAGACTGGTAATCTGGATGGACGCGGAACTTGACGACAGGGATGTAGGCTATGCAGCGCCAAGCTCATAATGTTGCTTTGGAACGAACCTCAGAATCAATGTTACCGATGGTAACAAAGACCGGGTGCATCTCAATTCCTCCGGTAAGTCGCGTTACGGCAGTTTTGTCGGATCCTAAGATTATCGGGACTTGAGTCGCACCCAATGGGAGATGGTCCTAGAAATTACAATCGGTGAGGATTATATTAATAACAGGGCGACCAAACCTGAATTTTCCATGCCATATTGGCACTCATGTAGTCTCCATATTCACACTTATTTTCGATGTTAGTGACGTGAGGGTGAAAGGTCATGTGATTTGCAAAAGTTGGGTTGCTAAATAGTTGCTTGACAACCTCCAGCGCATCGCGCCAAACAAGCTCCATGGGACAGACAGTCTTATAGCCTTTAAATTCTATTTTAGAGACTTTCCACAGGGCAAAAGAAGGCAGTGAGTCCATCCAGTCCAGGAGGCAGTCTTTTGTGGTAAAAGATGGTTTTGCGCGATCCGGAGAGTCAAACTGTGAAGGCAAGAGTTAGGAGTACAGCTTAGATTGATATTCATCACATTTACCCATCTTAACTTCAAAAATTTGGTTATTTGAGTTTGAGTAAGGTTTTCCACCAAAAACTTCCCTAATTCCCATTCACCTTCATCATGGAAGGGGTAATAAGGATTTATCTTCCGTCGATATGCATATTTATCATCTTCTAACTTATCCAGCATATTTTTACCGACACCATAGACGTACCCAGATTGCGGGTAACAGGTACCAGTGACAGGTATCCAGCCATTGAATACAGAAGGGACGGGTAACATTTGTGGTCGTGCATCAAATGGCCAACAAGTAGATGGAGAGTTGAAATGTGAGATAAGCGCCTTGATGGATGGATAGTCCCCCAGTTTGCAGTTGGGACATAGCCTGCCAATTTGAGGTATGTACGGTATCATGAAGTGAGCAACAGAAGTACTTACATTGTAGCGCAGACTTGGCTTAGACTTTAGCTGGTGAGTGAGTGCACCTGAAAAAACTAAAGTCATTCAAAGTCCGAATACCTCACATTTCGCAGCGCACAGTCATCGCGCTAGGCCAATGGAACTTGCGTCTTCATCACCGGTCTCATCTCCTGCTCGACTAAGCAGTCCCACTTTCACCAGCACTACATCAAGCAGTGCGACCTGTGTAGAATTAACTCCCTTGGAGTTTTATAAGAAGGTTGACTACCCTGAGTCACCCCATATAATGGCCACTGAGCTCTTATCTGGCTCTGACCGTTTACTTTCCCCCAAGATGTCCCCCCATCCTCCAGGTTCTCCAAACTGTTGCTTCTCCACGGTGGAAGAGCTTCCGTACCTTCCTGATGTAAAGGAAAGCCTATTGTATCAGCCTGACAGTTTCCAGTCACAAAGGTCACTTTCTCGGGCAGCTTACTTGCATGAGAAGCCATCCAAGAGGCATGTACCATACCCTCCCAGGCCATCTTCACTGGAGCTTCAGTTTGCAAACCGCGTGACAGGGCGAGTACGCCAACCTGACTTTACAGCTGAACAACTGCAAGAGGTATTTGTCTTTTCATTGCTTTGTTATACAAGTTCTCTGGTTCTCACATAGTCTATGTTCAAAAGCACGAGGATGCAATATCCAGTGGCCTCTCACAGATGAGCTTTGGTACATTGTACAAAGTGTTCAAGGCAGTACTTGCTGGTCATGAGGCTGCTCACCATGAAGTAGCCACATTGTTATGGCAGGTTGAACCCTCAGAGCGCATGAGCGCATTCAATCAGGCGCTTCACCAGGAGAACAAAAACTGGCTTTTTTTGAAGGACGAACAGCTGAAGAAGATTAGGAACATTTTTTCCGAGTGTGACCGCACGGAAATTGACGATGATACAAATTACAATCAAGCCATCTACAATGATGAATGCGAGATACTTCACACCATCACTGCCCAAGCAGAGATAATCTCAAACCACCTGGGCTCCAGCGCCAGACGTGAATTATTAGCATCTACTGGCGAAACTACCTACCTCCCTCGTTTTGTTGGTACTTTGAAAAATAAGGACAGTATCACACGTGCGCTGGGGGGTGGTTGTACGGAGGCTGGTGTCATCACCGATACCGACACCGATACCGACACTGATACGGATTCCGGCGAAGATGATGCTTCAGTCAGGCAGCCCGGCCAGCAGGACTGATGCAGCATGTAATTGTGACCATCAATGGTATGTGACCTGCCAAGCCATTCACAACACTCACACTGATCATTATCAATTCAGTCATCGTGTTCATAGATTGTTATCAACTGGTACTGCCTTGCTTCGACCGTTCAATAACATGCTTCGCCCGCCCCGGCTGTTCATATATGTCTTCCTGCCATTCATAAATCACCTTATTGGACATGCCCCTCCCCTCGTTTTACACTTCATTAGTAAATCACCTTGCTTTGTTTGTAAATCACCTTATCAGCCTGCCACGTGTTCCTGGTTTGTAAAGATCGTGTAAAGTCTGTGTCTCTTTCCTCCCTATGTACTATTACATCAACTCACAGTTTAAATGCATGCGTGTGCTCTCACATCCCCTCCACCCTTGAATGCCTAGTGAGCGTAACTCTCAGCGACAGCGAAAAACTAAGGCCAAAGTCCCAAAGCCACTGCGAGGTTCTGGCCTCAATCCATCGGGCGAACCGGCAACTGACCAACTCTATATCCCCACTGAATAGCCACAGATGTCCTCTTTCAACTTCGATGCCCATGCAGCCCCTGGAGGTTGGCAGGGCAGTAACGATGATAGCGCACTTCCCACCCCAATGCCAAGTGGCAGCTGTAAGTCTGACTCATTACACTTTCATTGACTGATCACTCATCATTCAGCAGCCCTGCATAGCTGGAGCATGCAGGGCGCCAACACCGATAGTCACTTATCTTATGGCCATTCCTACAACACTTCGTCTTTGGAGCACGCTGGCACTGACTTCGATGATGATCACCCCCCTTACAGCTCCAACCCTCAATTTTATGACACTGAGTCCATGGAAGCGCCCTCCCAGGGCGCTTCCTTCAACTACCTATCTCATGGCTCCTACCACAATCAGACAGCGGGCCCCTCTTACAATACTGCGTCCATGGAAGCGCCCTCCCAGGGCGCTTACCCACCTCAAGGATCCTCTCGAGGCACTGCCGCTGGCACAAGCGCAACTGATGCGACGCCCATACAACAAGGCGAAATTCCACGCACGGATGTGATGCATGTAAGTTAGTTTGTTTTTCTTCAATCAATTTCACGCTAATTTTTATTATTCAGACAGCGGGCCTGGCAAGGGAGCCAAAGCGGCGAGGCCAACAATGAGCTATGCCACCTATGCCACGCTTGATCCCCTACCCAGCCACGCGCCCACAAGGCGCTTCCGAATCTGCTCCCACAGCCTCAGCCTCAGTCTCAGTCTCAGTCTCAGCCTCAGCCTCAGCCTCAGCCTCCACCTCGCAACCTATGATGTCCTCAACGTCTGACCTCATCCAACTAACAGACGACATCATCGGCCAGACCATGAAAATGGCAATGCAGCTGGTCACACGCGAGCTATTCGAGGAGCAAGCGATGGCAATCAACAAAGCCGCCAAGAAGATAATGCTGAATCGAGTCATCCAGGACTCCGTCCCACGTTGTTTTGGACCTAACGGTAAGTTTTTATCTCAATGATCGTTAGCATCACACTGACCCTTTATTAGCGACATTTCAGGAATTCATTACTAACAAACATCACAAAGAAGTAGTGAATGCGCTGTCGTCCACGTGCGGGAAGCTCATCGAATTCGTGCAGGACGGCATCTTCCATGTGTACCGACTTTTCCCTCTGCGGTACAGTAACGCGCCTGCTGTCGTCTTTCGCAAATGCATGATCGAAAAGATCACGCGTGATGCGGACAGACTCGTTTTCATGCATATCTACACCTTTGACCAAGTGAGTTTTCAGTTCTCATTTGCGGATAGCCTAACCCCTCTTTTTTTTCAGAATGGACGCATTGAAATCAAGGCGAAGTTTCAAAACTTCTTCATCATGGCCAACGTGATCTGCTTCACTTGGTCTCACTTACGCCATGAGTTTCTTGGCGAGACAGAAGAAGAACAGCTCAAACATTTGAAGGTGATCTGGGCGCTCGCCAGCGCAGCGACATTCTGCGGCCTAGATGAGCAGTTTGAGGATGAGTTGAAGGTTGAGTCTTTCGGGGGGATGGTCGTCAATTGTAAATTCCTTTCTATTCTAGCCGCCATCAACAACCTCACTGGGGATGAGCGAGTAGAATTCAACGACTTTTTATGGTACATGTTGGTAGTTGGACCCTCACAAGCGCACTTGTAAATATGCATCTCTACTACTACTATGTTTTGATTCTTTCGATTGTACTACTACTAGTATCACTGATAATCTTATGTCGTGTCGATAAACCTTAGATCTTGCATCTAAATGTACTCAGGGTTCAAACATAACCAAAACCAGGCATTTATGAACTAAATTTCGTGCTAACCAAAACGGTAACTCTCGCAAGCGTTTTAGACGGCATTTTCACTAAGTCCAATTTTTAGATGTAGTATATGTTTTAATGCAGTTATAGCTGGTGACAGCGCAGATGAAGGAGGCCGCGGAGATGTTGTGGATGTAGGTTGTGATACATTGGATGATGTCGGAGGTAGTGTAAGTACCCGCAGAGTAGGTCCAGGTATGGCAGTGCATATGGATGAGGTGGGAATAGGAGCACCAGCGCCAATATTAATACCAACAGCAGGTGCAGAAGCGGTAAGAGACGATGTAGAAACATTGTTTGCGATGGATAATGTCGTCCCATGTCCTACAAGCGATGCTCTTGGCAGGCGAATTGTCAGTGGTGTACGAACACGAGGTTGAGCAGTACTAGTACTGTTAATCGGTTCTGCTGATGCCGCTGTGGGTCCTTTGGAACACGTATATGGTGTAGCATGAGTTGGCGAAGAAGTAGCAGCCGGTGCAGGAGATGATGCTGGAATGTCATGGATAGGGCCCGGAGCGGAAGCTGTAGTTTTTGCGCATGTCTGTGGCCGCATGCCTGGAATAATAGCTATAAAAATTGAACTTGATGAAGCCTGAGAAGTCTGATTTTCGAGAAATGATGAAAGAGAAGGCAACAATATTTTGGTCGTTAAAATCCCTGCAAGTCAGAGTCAGCTCGATTCAAGGATGTTTGGGATTCATCTGACTTCATCTTTTCAGAGTAAATTGGAACACTCGTCTTTCATTGGTTAGCAGACCACGCAGAAACTCATGGCACTGTCACTATGGGAGGGGGCGCCCATGAATTTGAGTAGGAGAAAACATTGAAAGACAATAGGGAGAGCTACTGAAGCGAGTAAGGTAGGTATCACAGATTCACAATGAACCAATTCGATCTTATGGTCACCTGTGGTTCCCTCGTACCTGATCTAATTAGACTTGACAGCTCAGCAGGCCTGATGGCGGGTCTAATTAGAGTGATTTACAGCTGCCCCCATACTATCCCTTC